ATGACAAATTCACTTATATTAAACTTTGAACTTTTATTAACAATATGAATAAGGAAAATATGTTTTACCCGCATTGTAACACAAATAAATAAACGGTCTTTGGATTTCCCCTTTCTTTAAAACGATCATAGTTTGTGGTTCATTATTAGCCTATTAATTAAAACACATCAGCCATAAAATAGTACAATGGCAAATTCACATAGGCCTATATTAAACATCTAATACGTTCCTGCGGCTATGGAACCAGGCCCCACAGCTCGGCACGCATGTGATTCGCAGACTAATTTGCCAATTTATAAGTTCAAGCGACAAGAAGAAGAAGCGAAAGAGAACTCGATTCGTTAGCACGCGCTGTTTTCTGTGCACAGCAGGTGCACACACTTGAAGTTGAGTTAATTCCTCTTTCACTTCTACTTGCATTTAAGATTGCCTTCATACATATACAATTATGTCAAAAAACCCTTCTCAGCATTCTCATTCTCTGTGCTTTAAATATTTTTTTTCTTGCTTATCTAAAAAATCATCCGATCCGTGACTCAAAAACCACTGATCCGTTGAACCTCTCTCTCTCTCTCTCTCTCTCTCTCTCTCTCTCTATATATATATATATATACAGTGCACAGCAAAAATGAGTACACCCCCTCTGAATAAATACAAAAAATGTATTAAAAACAACAAAATATATGCCAATATTTTCTGTAAGATAAGTAAATTAGCCAATTTTGTTTAAATGAAGGATTGCAGAAATTAGTACACCCTAGATTTATTTCAGAAAATTTCTAATATTCTAGTACTTAGTATGTCCTCCAGAACTTAAAGTACACTGCTCTGACACTTCTTGGCACTGAGTGTACAAGTTCATGACAAATTTTCAAATCAGCAACACCAGAACATTTTGGATGCTTTTGGAGACGAAATGATTGACTTGGTCTCTTGAGACCAGAGTATGGATTCCCAGAAGTCTCTATTTTGTAAACACAGCAGCTCCAGCTGCTCAAGATTGAGTGAAATACATGTCCACTGAAGGATTTTCACATTGGGAGAATGAATATATTCAATATATTCATTCGCACCGCTTTAGTTCCA